CAATTATCATAATATTTTGTTTAGGGAAATTACCCAAAATATGAGTAATTGAGGTTTGGAATTCCAAAATAGGACTACTATATTTTTCTTTCCGAAATACGAGTTGTTAATGCCATGTATGAAAAATATTGCCATAATTGAAAAATATTGTCATTAATTATAACTAATACTATCATGTTAAATGCACTGTACTGCAACTATTTGGCAGTCACGTCTACAAGATGACAGTAAATACTGCCATGTTAATCATATTTCGGGAAAAAAACATATAGTAGTCCTATTTTGGAATTCCAAACTCCATTTACTCCTGTTTTGGGAAATCTCCCTTTTGTTTAAGATGCATGAAAATAAATAATATGGGTTTTATATTCATGTTAGGAAATAAAATTATGGATAAAAATGTAACTAAAATTACTATAAATATGTTTTCATGGTCATTACGGTAGGTAAATTTAACATATTGTAGTCACTAGAAGTTATTAAGTCGTTTTTTCATCCACCGTGATTATAATCATATATTAGGAATTAATTTATAATTTATATTGGTGTATTATATTGAATTTATATTAAAGTTAATTGTTTCAGGTTTTTATCGGTCCGGGCCGGGTTATATATTTAAGGGCCCATTAATGAGCCTGAAATTTCAGGTTCGGTCCGGGTTTTTTTATTCGGACCGGTCAAAAAGAAAAAAGTCGGGCCATATCATAATTCGGTCTGGACCAAGATCGATTTCAGGGTTTCGGTTGGGTTTTTCCCACCCCTAAATTTAATATTACCCACATTGATACTAGTGACATCTTTATATTTGTTACATTTTAGGATTTGTTAGGATTTAATATTAGCCACATTAACATTAGTGACATCTTAATATTTGTTACATTTTAGTGGTTGTTAGAATTTAATATTAGTGACATTTGAATATTTGTTACATTTTAGTGGTTGCTAGAATTTAATATTAGTGACATTTTAATATTTGTTACATTTTAGTAGTTGTCAGAATTCAATATTAGTGACATATTAATATTCGTTACATTTTAATAGTTGTTACAATTTAATATTTCATACATTTTAATAGTTGTTACAATTTAATATTACCCACACTAATATTAGTGTTATCTTTATATTTGTTACATTTTTAATATAAGAAAATAACTTTAAATAATACCAACTATCACTCATAAACCAATAATAATACATACTTTGAAAGTGATTTAAATAATACCATCTATTTGAATATAAAAAATAATAATATGAAGTCGTTTTTCATCGAGAAATCAAGTCATTTAAGGCATTAAAAACTAATATGTAGTAGCAAACTCACAAATAAATGATATTTGGAAATACAATCATTTACGGAGTATTTGATATTTTGATACTAGTTTTTATTGAATTAATTAACTGAATTTTCATTAAAAAATTGCTCAATATCACTTTTGGTCTAAATTTAGATAATTGGTATTATTAAAAGTAACTCTCAAAGTATGTATTATTTTTGGTTCATGAAAGATAGTTTGTATCATTTAAAGTTATTTTCCCCTTTTAATATTACTTGTACTTTGTATTATTTGTAACATTTTGTAACACAATGGAACGGAGTAGGAGATCCATTGATATGGGTAATCTCCGATGCAACCGTTCGAAGGAAATTGCGGAGGTCATCCTTCTGGCCGGTCGAAAGGTTAACGACAAGTTGGAGCAACTTCTTCATCCCAAAGCCACGATGATTGGGTCGCCGATTATAACCGTAGGGATGCCATGGCCGAAGAGCAACTCGGGCAACTCATATCTCAAAATCAATGGAGGTTTATGCGAACAAAAAATCCTTCTCGAGATTAACGAAGACTTGGAGGATGACGACGCGAGGAGGTGCCACAAGGCGGCGGTTCATGCCAACCGGCTCAACAACATAAGACTACACTAAAATCTCCTCTTTTTGTAGATCATTTTAACAAGGTGAAGGATCCAACGGACGGCAAGTGATACGCACATTGCAAACATTGCCCACAAAATATTGTGCATGGGAGTGTCGGTGGGCTATGGCACCGTTCAAAGGCACTTGAACTCAAGGCACCTTACGGAGGCGGTGAAAATAAAGGGCAAGAGCGTGCAAACACAAATATCAAGGTTTGCAAATGATTAACCCTTCAGTAATTCCGTTTATAGTGATGAGCAACATTTCAGGTTTATAATATCTTCAATAAACATGAAAGATAATAACTTGAATGAACATGTAACAGAATCACTCATGAGCCTGTAGAGTGGTGAAGTTAACAAATTAAGCATATGTGATAAATAAGTATTAAAACAATATAAATGAATTACCATATATTGAAATTGTTAATATGTAGAACCAATTAATTACTCCCATGTGGAATAATACCCTGATTAGTGAACATGTTAAATATTTATTAATAATTATTAGTGTTGCAGATATTTTTAATTGGGCTGAAATTTCTGATATGATCTAAGTTTGATTTGGTATAGTCTATTTAAACTCGCTCAAGTCTAATAGACATATGGTGTACGTGTATTTTACAATTATCTAATTTTGGTCCGATATATTTAACTCTAATATGATATGATATGATATGATATGATTAGGGAGTGCAAGCAATCCAATTAAAAAATTTCCAAAAATGTTTTTTCCATCTTAAACATTGAAAATGCCATCTTGCCATTTTATTGACATCATAAAAAAAAATCTATTTTTTATAAAAAATAAACATAATATCGGTAGTTTTTCTTTATACTTGATAGTTCACCGAAGAAAATAATAATTTTTTCTGCCATAATGTCATAGGCAAATCTTTTATATAATTGGCAACACTTTCAAATTGATAATAATGTACCACACTTTCTGCCATAATATAATTTGCATATAACATGTAATGTCATAAACTTGGCAAATATGAAGTCAATATAAAAAATGGGATTTGTAAAAACATCTAAAAGTTAACGAAATTCGAAATCGAAAATACATGTCCAAAACCCCAGAAAAACCAATGCATCGACATAGAATTAACAAAAATAACAAAATTTCAACCAAAAAAACTTCGAAGTCAATGAACAAAATTGTTTTTAAACATAAAAGAGGATCATTAGCCACAGGTGGGATGAATAATATAGGTGATAGAGCATTAAACTTATAGAGAAGTGAGAGTTAGAGAGAGATTGCAATTAATATCTGTCAACCCCTTGCAACTACCCCAAAGGGGTTATTTATAGAGAAAATATTGGCTGGGCTCTCAAGCCTTGGACTTGGGAGGCCCATTTACAATATAAGGCCTCTACTGGGCTGGATACAATTCGAAATATTGACGAAGTACAGAAATCTGGTTCTGTGAGGTCTCTTTGGCCGACGGAGGGCAAGACCGACGGAGGACCATGTTGCGCTCTTGGGCTTCTGGACCATATTCTGGACTGATATGAGTTCGGCCGATGGAGGATCATATGACCGACGAAGGCCCATCTGGGTGCCAGTTGTGCTTCCTCTTGATCTTCTGAGTAGGTGAATCATGGGGTCTGGACTCATATACTCTATCAATAGATTTGGGTAGATTAGGGTCGAATCCTGAGTTTAGAAAACTCAAACGGGGCGACGGGATGAAAACGTGGAGACTGTTAATGTTTTTGTATTTTAAATAAATACACTTAATCACATAAAATTTGTGGATAGAATGCAGAGTTCCAAACCTATAAATCTTTATTTTGTATGAGTAGTTTTTAAAGACAGTGACTTATACTAGCTCCAAGAAGTGTGACATAATTTATTTAATTTTTCATAATTTTATTTACATGTAAAATTTTATTAAGCTTTAATTTTTTCTTTCTTAGAGATGTGTTGAGGCAACTCTAATTTTTTATGTATATGTTTAGTTTTCTAATTCATAATTTGGTGTTTTTAGTTTATGTGTCGTGTGCGAGTTAATTTGTAGATTTATTGTAGGAGATTGCATTTACTACATTTAATTTTTTTGGTTTGGACTTTTATTATATTCTTACTACTACCTTCGTCCCGAATTTATTTGCAAAATTGACTTTTCTTTGTCAAACAACTTCATTTTGTTCACTTAATTAGAATGTCTATTTTTAATTATATTCTAATTTGGAGTTCGCAACTTTGATGAGTTTTTAATGTAGTTTCTGAATATGGAAATTTCCATGATTAAAATTGAATCAATTATTAATATGAAAGATTTAATTTTAAAATTGGTTGATCAAAAAAATTTGACTTTGTAAATCAATTTGAGACGAAAGAAGTATATTATTGCAACATTGAGTTTACTTTGTTTGATAATGTTAATTGTTACTCCCTCAGTCCCGCTAGAAAGTTCCCGTGAACGGTTTACGATGCTTGACTGTCGATAAAGCAACTTAATTCCTGTTCACAATCTATTTAGTTTTAGTAAATAAAATTAACATATTCAGAAAATATATTAAAATCGCTACAAAGCCTGACAAAAAAAATGTAAATTTGGTAAAAATTTGATTTATAAAGTAAAAGATTAAAAATGATTTAAGTTGACCATAAGAATAGTGGACAGGAACCTTCTAACGGGACGGAGGGAGTATTACATTCTAGCTCTGTAAGTATAACAATATCTTTTTATGAAAAAGATGAATTGATAACTCAAATTAGAACCGACTCATTTCAACGAGATGCCTAAGACCTTGTCCATATTAAAAGACTTGATATACCTTATCCAAAACTAACTATTTAATACTTCCTTCATTCTTTTTCTTTGAAAGGAACTTCCTTCATTCTTTAATAATCGGAGAAAAGTATTGAAAAAGTAAGAATGAGTAAAAAGTATTTTTATAGTGTATAAAAGTAAAAAAATAAGTGTTACTCGGTAAAAAACATTTGCTAGAAGGAATTTGAGATAATTACTAAATTTTATTCAATAAACTCGACCACCCCTAATTTATATCACTCCCATTTGTCCCACCAAACGTTTCTTACCATGGGCAAATGGAATAACAATGTAACATAAGTAGTATTACCAGATATATATGGTAGATTGAACGGTACCCTTAATGTATCGTACCTTTGTATACATGTACCAATCAGAATGAAGTAGTTGAATTATTTAAATCTAAATTAAAAATGATGTAATGATTTGAACCAATCAAGTGAGTGGTAGATACAATACTCCATTTTTAAAATGGGTATCGGAATTGTCACCGTATATATTACCAAATGTTGGACAATCGGATTATCTTTTGGATACATAGAAACGTTAAAATAAATAAATACCGAAATCTTCTCCTCTTTTATTACGTGAGGTGTCGGTGATCTGCACTCTGCAATCTCCTTTCACCTCCTTTAAACAAGCCACGCACGACCCCACTCCATAGAAAGCTCTCCCTTTCGATATCCGTGAATCTTGCAAGCATAACCCCTCACCTCGCCCCACGCGGGGTCAACTCCACCCACCAAGCAAGCAAAAGTTCATTGCTTTACAGTTCACTGTACGATCCACCATTTCCCGTTCTTGAACCTCCGCCTGAGCGCGAACAAGATTGGGGTTTTCTGGAGCTGTTCGAGATAGTAACTTCTCTCCTTTTTTATTCTCTTGAGCCCCCATGCGCGGGCTAAGCCGGCTTGGAAGCGGCGTCAGCACACCGTCGCCACCTTCTTCGCCGCGCCACCGGAGAAAGAACTCGCCCGTTGGAGGTGGCGCGGGGAGCTTCCGCGGTGGCATAAATGGAGAATTAAAGCTGCACTCTTTTGCGGAGAAGGTGGGATTTCTACTGGTTTCGGCCGTGTACCGGCGGCGAGGGGTGTTGCTTTTCGCCCCTTTGTTGTATATTTCTGGGATGTTGTTGTACATGGGCACCTTTGGCTTCAGTGGTGGCAGGGGTCATCTGGCGGTGGCGCCGCCTGGATCAGTTTATCGGAGCCCCCAGTTATTTGAGAACCTCTGGCCTCATATGCTGGGTGAAAATAATGGAAGCTCAAACTTGGTATAAAATCTCCTCTTTGCTTCTCATCTTTCTTTTCTTTTATTATAAATAATAAATAAAAGAAGTCCACTTCTTCGTCTTATCACTTTTACTTGGTCATGGTTTGTTCAGGTTGGTTCCAAAATCCGCAGCTTAAAATTTGATAGGATAAGTAATTGCTCCTGTTCCCAGTTACATACTCATATTTTGGTTTCGGTATAAATCTTTCTAGTAATTTCAAATAAGAAATGAATTATTGGTCCATTTTTTACAATTGTCCCTACCACTTCATAGAATTATGAGGCAGGCAGGCATTAATTGGAAAACGTGAACTAAAATGTGCTTAATAATGCCTAACATCTTAAATCTAGAATATTATTTGGATATGTGAGCATGATGAAATAATTCATACGCTGTAGATTTTGAAGTGGTAAGCATGTTTTTTTGGATAATTGTGTTGGAAAATAATTTCTTATAATTCAGAAAAAAACAAAAGATAGGAATAATACGTGGTCTGTTCCAGATATAATTGACTGAAAGATCATGGCTTGAATATACAGTTGACAAATGTGTGGAATCCAAAGTTTCATCAAAATTGGAAGCCTTGTCTTGACAAGACTATTTCTCAAGCGGGTTAGTATTCTGCATTTCTGTCTATTGCCCTCGTCATTGACCTACCAGTTCATTCACTTTTGTTAAGCAACACTTTATAAAATCTTAATCTTACTTAATTTGCGGATATACGGGGTTATATTTTTTTTAAAATAAATTATGGGGCAACATGAGTCCTTGTGAAGCTATATTAGTGATTACTCTTTTTTTTTTAAAATCTCATTTCTTAAGTTTAGATTGCTGAGACTTGATGTTATACTACGTGTCTATGTCACCGGTGATGTTGTGTGAAAATGTTTATCCAGACGTGAAATTATATTATTTTATACGTAGTATAAATTTCTGGTGAAGGACTGTATTTGCTGAAATCGATGCTAAATATCTTAGCTTTGATGTGTCACGTTTCCACCGCAAAACCCATTGGATGACCATAGCAGAGCTGATTGTGGATGATTGGACATTAAGAAAACAGCATATTAGAAATGAATACATTTGAAGTGTAGCTGCAATTTTTTAAGATGATCATAGAGAGGATATTTATGATGACAAGTAAGCAAACTATATAATTTTGTGCTGTTAGAAAGAATGGTGAATTAATAGCTGGTGAAGGAGGTAGGTAGGAGAGTTCTGGCATGACCGCACGACAACTTATAAATGGATGGAAGAGCCTGTAGGCTCTCTTTTGTCCTACCCCTGTAATATCAAATGTTGGAACAGATTATTTTATGATGCTTTTTTTAGAACCAACCGTGTATTTTTCTTCTGATTCATGTTCGAGTAGTTACTGGATTGTCCTCTGATTTTCATCAAAGAAGCTCTTAGCTTACATCAAATAAGCCATATTTGTAATAGTAAATTATTATTTCATTACTAAATTCAAATTGAATTTTCAATATTTTCTTTCTAGGGTTGCCGGAATTACAAAAGTCTAATGGTTTCCTCATAATTGAAGCAAATGGCGGGTTAAACCAACAAAGGTTATCGGTACGTTCTTTTGATACAAATATACAAATAAATAAAATTTACCTTATTTCTTATCGTTTTGTGTCTTGATTTGCATCAAATTCTTTGTATTCACTTTTCTCCATCATGAAGAGCATTAATTGAGTTGGATCACATTATTAGGTCATATTTAACCCAATTTGAATAGTAAATAGATTTAAAACGTTTAGGGGCAGATCAATAGAATTACACTAATTGATGTAGATATTGCTGATGAATGCAATTTCCTTATTTTGTGTTCTACTTTGGGGTATGTAGTTTTTCTTAAACCATGTTCATTTTGTACTGAGTCGTTACTGATATAATTTGTAGTTGACTAGTATTATTTTTGTGGGTTAATTAGACTCTGATCTCTTGCTTAAAATGATGCACTAAGTTTCGAAGGGACAAAAAAGAACACAATTGAACTAGAACAACCTTTTCTTATCTTATTGCAGATATGTGATGCAGTTGCTGTTGCTGGTCTGCTGAATGCTACACTTGTTATTCCGATTTTTCATTTAAATAGTGTTTGGCGAGATTCTAGGTAAACTTATAACATGATTAACCTTCGAATGTTAAGTCTTCACAAAAATGCGTATAAGGCATTCCATTGGTTAATGAAAATGTGCACAAAAGACCTGGGATGCTTTGACTCTTGATACCTTTTCTTACTTTTTTACTGTATATTATGCATACCATGTTGTGCTGTGGAGACCATGGTACTTTTGATGAAATAGAACAACCCATGCAAAAAATAAAGAAGAAACATACTTTTTCATAACCATATATTGAATATTCTGACATCCTAATTCCTAATATTGGTTTGAACAATAATTAAGAGCCTCCATTATATTAGAAATTATCGTAGTATTTACTTATTGATAGGGCGAAATTTCAAAGTGTTGTTTTCAGGGCTAGTTTTCTTTGAGGTGTCTGTTACTTTGAACTATTTTCCTGACTGACCTCTTACGCAGCAAGTTTGGTGATATCTTTGATGAGGACTTTTTCATATATGCACTGAGGAATCACGTCAAGGTGGTTAAGGAACTTCCAGAAGATGTACTTCAGCGTTTTGACAACAATATTGCCAACATTGTTAACTTGAGAGTTAAGGCTTGGTCCAGTCCAACATACTATAGGCAAAAGGTCCTACCAAAGCTGTTGGAATTGGGGTATACATCTCATGCCTCCATATTCATCTGATTATTTTTTGTTCTGTTTGGATACCACTTGATGCCAATGGATCTTACCTTTTCATGATTTTTTCCCTCTTTTCATATGTTATGCAGGGCTGTACGGATCGCACCGTTTTCCAATAGATTGGCCCATTTAGTTCCTCCAAATATTCAAGGCCTTCGATGTTTGTGCAACTTTGAAGCACTGAGATTTTCAGAATCCATACGCATGCTTGCAGCAAAGATGGTTGACCGAATGATGAAAAATAGCTCCAGAAGTGGGGGCAAATATGTTTCAGTGCATCTTCGGTTTGAAGAGGTGTGTCTGTTGTGTGCCTGGCTAAAATTTTAATTTAGTTTAAATTAGTTCATTGCAATTTTTATTGTTCTTTTGAAATTGCCAGACTTTTTAAATGGCTAGATATTTCTTGTTTAATTCGAAAAACAGTTCAATTTTCCTTTTTGTCTTTAAAGGATATGGTTGCATTTTCTTGCTGTATTTATGATGGCGGTGAGGAAGAAAAACTTGAAATGGATACTGCTCGGGAACGGAGTTGGAGAGGAAAGTTCCGGAAAAGAGGCAGAGTTATAAGACCAGGTGCAATAAGGATGGATGGGAAATGCCCTCTTACTCCCCTTGAGGTACAAGATATGTGATGAGTGTCCAAAGTTTATCTTCATTGTGTGTCATTTGGGAAAATAGAGAAACTAATTCTACGATTTCTTGGTCTAGGTGGGCATGATGCTAAGAGGTACGGGATTTGACAATAGCACCTCGGTTTATGTTGCTTCTGGAAAAATTTATAAGGCTGAGAAGTATATGGCTCCCCTCAAACAGATATTCCCACATCTAGAATCTAAAGAGACGCTTGCTTCACCACAAGAACTTGCTCCATTTCAGGTTGTTACCAAATATTTCACCCCCTGTATCTAGGTATTGTTTCTTTCTCAACTAAACTATATGTATTTGAATGTAGGGACATTTATCACGATTGGCTGCCCTTGATTATACAGTTTGCCTCTACAGTGAAGTTTTTGTCACTACACAGGGAGGTAACTTTCCCCATTTCTTAGTGGGTCATAGACGCTATCTGAATGGAGGCCATGCCAAGACAATCAAACCTGATAAGCGGAAATTAGTTCTTCTGTTTGATCGCCCGAGTATAAGGTAATATGCTTTTTACTGTCATTCTATAATCATTTTCATTGTTGCATCCTAATTCATTTTCAACACCTTACCCCAATTACTTTGGGAAACTTTATAGTTTCAGTTGATCGTCTAAAATTAGTCAACACTATAAATTTATGCAAAAATCAGTGACAAAGTTGTACCGTGGAATCCTTCCTTCCGAAGCCTTCGAAAGAAGAAAGGGAAAAGTACGAAAAAGGTATGTGGTTGAGCCCTTTTTCAGATAGGGTCATGTGTTTCATTCTTTATCAAAGTGGTTCATGTATTTGAATTCCGTTATCACAAGAGGGTCACGCCGTTAAAAATGTCTGAAAAAGACCGTTAAAAGTAACTCCGATTTTCAAAAGTGCCTGAAAAATTAAAAGAAAAATACCGGAAGGTGCGCCTCAACAAGACGACCGTTAGGCCATCTTTCTTTTTTGTTTTCAGCCACCTTTGTCACCGGAAAGCCCATTGTAAAAGTGATATTAGCGAAAACATTTTTAAAAAATAATTCAAATAGATCTGAAAAATCCAAAGGCAAAGCTGGTTTGGAGGTCATCTTGACGAGGCGCGCCTTTCGTTGTGCTTCTTTTAATTATTCAAGCACTTTTGAAAATCGGAGTTATTTTTAACGGTCTTTTCAGACGTTTTTAACAGCGTGACCCTCTTGTGATAACGGAATTCAAACACATGGACTACTTTGATAAAGAATGAAACACATGACCATATCTAAAAACGGGCCCAACCACAATGCTTGGGAAAGGAAAGTAAGTGCTTAGAAAAATTGTTTTCTTGTGTTTGGATTTACATTAGAAAATGAAATTAATACTCCGTATGTTAAAGGTTCTCAGTATTTATATAACACGTATATGAATAAATAATAATCAATTCAATAATTTAAAAATAATCATTTAAACCAATAATTTGAAATAGTTTAAACTAATAATTTATTTTTCTTGACATATTCTTTCCTTCCAAATGTCTCCTTATGGATTTTCCACTCTATTTTCTTCACTAGCATCTTTCACGTTCCAAACGGACCCTAGAATCAACATAGCATAGAACATGATTATATTTTTTGCCCTGCCATAACCAATGCCAATTGAAACACAATTACCTGAACCGGTCTGAATTTTTGTGGGTAACATGTGCATGTCTCCCCTAAGGCAAAGACTTTTTAGAGAATATTAAATATTCTCAAAAGCCTTACTTTAGAGAGACAAAAGCATACTTTGGTAGACAAGTGCATGTTTGTACCCATAATAAGACGTTTTCTTTCGCCCCATTTCCATGTCTTCGTTGATTTGTTGTACCAACAGATGGAATGACTTTAAACGCCAGTTGCAAGATATGCTTCACCACAGTGACATAAAGGGTTGTGAGGTCAGAAAATCCAGCAGCTCACTTTACACTTACCCAATGCCTGACTGCATGTGTAAACAAGAAGTTGTGAATAAGGATAGCAGGAATACCTCAAAAGCCCTTTGATATGTACATGAAAAATACTAGTTGTACACAGAATTAGTACACAAAATGTACAAACCCCCCTAGTTGCTTGTGTACTAGGGCAATTCGTTTAAAAAAGGCAAGATTGCATGCCAAAATGCTTGTGTACACTGGTGGTGTACAATTTGTGTACAAATTTTGTATACGCCAAGAATGGTTCTATGTACATAGGATTATATACACACACGCACGACTGACACGCATGCACGCACATTCACACATTCCTTGGGTATTTTTTGGTTGATATCACCTGGCTATATGTAGCTTAAAATTTAGCCACTGGACATGGAAGAACAGCAATATTGAGGATAGATATTTTTAATCCCATAGAGTCATTTGTATTCATTAGATTCTTCCAAGTTCATTCAGGTTTTCGACTGGTGTATCCCAGCTCACTCTGCACAAATGTCGGTCTGTTATAGAAACCACAATTCTTTGTAACAACCCCTTGTTTTTGTAGTTATCTCGTTTTATTTGCTTTCATTGACCAAATTATTTTTGCTGTCATCTTGCAATCAGACCATTTATGCAGAATTGGGCAGGTAGTGAATCGAATTGCTGGCCCAATTTCCCTATTAGGGCTGGCTCCCTATTTTTGTTGTGTTCTGTTTTTAAAATATACTTCGTCTGGCTTGTTGGATTTTGTCGAACTTTCCTTTTTTCTTTTCTTTGAAGACTTTATCACTTTCCTTTTAAAGTAATGATTTGTAGTTTTCCCTATTTTTCTCTCCGCTGCACAAATCTCAATCACATGACGTTTACTTTTTTTATTCCTTATTTTGACCTGAACATTTATCGTTTTTCACATGTTATATAGTTTTTAAGAAAAACTAAGATAGTTGTTTAAATTACAAAAATAAAGAAAAATTGTAAATTTAAGAATGTCAAGTTTTTTTTATGTTTTTGGAATTATTTGTATATATTACTTTTAAAAGGTTTTTACTATTTAATTTTAACCTTACTCCATTCTTTTGTAGTTGTAATGTTCTAATTCTCGTGTTTGTCAATACATAGGGTGAGTCGGGTGACCATTTAATATATTTTATTCCTTATTTGTAAAAAAAATTAAAAATTGAATTTGTAAAATTAGAATTGGAGGAGTTTAAACAATTATCTTAGTTTTGCAGTGGCAATTTTTCTGCAAAATTAGTCACTAATAAAATTGTTGGATGAAAATAAATCCTAAATTACATACAAAATATTTAAGATAAGGTAAAAAAAATATTTTTTTGGTACACATTTTCAAAATTCTTTGTACCAATAGTTTTGTTAGTTAAGTTAGAGCACAAACAAAAAGTATCATAATGAAAAATCCACTTCTAGAAAAAAGTAACGTGTGGTAAAAAAATGTACAATTTTTTATTGTGCTTGAAACGTTTTTTGTAGATGTGAAGTGTCAAACATTTGTTATCATTTTTTTAACCCGGTTGACAAATTACTAAAATCAGTGGGGCAAATTACGGGGAATGTTTGCCGGATATTATTAAAAATAAAACAATTACAATTTGTGAGGGGGACTAAACCTGAACCTCAGAAAGGGCATCCCCTTTCAGCCAAAAAGAGAGAACCACAAAACAGTAAAACTCCATGAATTAATGGACATAGGGAACAGAATCCTCATCAAGCTTAAAGCCATCTAAAGGGCCGAAAAAGGCCCCAACCTGCCACTAACTCCGCTGTTTGACACTTTTTGACTTCACACATATTAAGAAAATGAAATTGACTTTACTGTGGAGTGCACTGTTTGACACTTTTTGGCACTTTTTGGACACTGTTTGGCACTGTTTTGCATTGTTTTGTTTCCCAAAATGGAAGTGTGAACTTAAATAAGGGACATCCCAAAAAGGAAAGTGAGAACTTTAATAAGAACCGGAGGGAGTATATGAAACATCAACGACCACGGCAAATTATACCGTGGGGTGGGTGTACCATGCGCAAATTATCCCAAATACAATATCGTTTTTTTATTCCGTATAACAAATGAAGCATACAAGACCACTTGCTGAATGATTGCATGCTCTCTCCACTCACACATCCTTCACTCACATTTCATTTTTCTTTTTCATTTGTTTCTTTTGATTTTTTTATCAAAAGCTATAATGTTTCCAATTACTTTTTATTTATTTAAGAGCACAGAACATATTATAATTTTGTGATCAAATTTCATCCTTTCAAATAAATTAATTACTTTTTCTTTCTCTCTTAGTCCTTATTGATACACTTTTCCTTTTCTTTTCTTTTTATTCAACTAAAAATACAATAAAAAAACTATCTATTTTTTCTTCAGAATAAATATTTTTTATATTTATACACTTATTTGTAATATATTTTTTCACATTCACATTTTTTCCTATAATATATTTATTATCTCTCTTATATGGAGTATGTTTTTAGTATTTTTTTAGACATTAAATTTGGTTATTTTGATTTACATTTGATAAAGTATGAGATTACATTTTCCTGTGCGATTTATATTTCTACAAGTGTGAGTTATGTTTATTGACAATTTCAGGACTTACATTTGATAATATATGAAGTTACATCTTCTTGTACGTGAGTTGCATCTTTTTATGAGTGAGTTACATCTTCATACGCGCGAGTTACATCTAGACTTATCTCAAGAAGTTACATTTTGCATATACCTAAGTTAGTTTTCAATCAGTACGTGTTACATTTTTCATAATATGAATTACATCACTAAATAAACCTCTGCTATTGAAAGAAAATAACCATTTCATTGCACAAAAACTGATTCTTTTTGGCAAAAAAAATCCCCAAAAAAAAAGTTTTGGCAAAAAAAATATTTTCTAAGAAACAATTTTTTATGACCTTAAATATTAAAAAAAAAAACATATTCACTATTTACATAACGTAATTGAGCAATTAAGCTCCTTGTTTTCATTGTTTACAATTGATAGTATATGAAGTTACATCTTCTTATGGACGAGTTACACAATTTTATGCGTGAGTTACATCTTCTTGTACCCAAGTTACACTTAGACTTGCTTCAACAAGTTACATTTTGCATACACCTAAGTTAGATTTTTTCATCGACATGAGTTACATTTTCCATAACACTAGTTACATACCAAAATAAACTCCAACTATTGAAACAAAAAATTCATTTTTTTTGCAAACAAAAATGATAATTTGAAAAAAAAAAGATATTTAAAAAATATTTTTATGGCCTTAATATTAAAAACAAAACATATTTATTACTTATGTATAGTAATTGAGCAATTAGACTACTTTTTTCAGTGTTTACTTTGAAATCAACGTTTTATTTATTCTTCTTCGTATTAGAAAAGTTACACCACAACTTGCTTGCAGTTACCTTGCATATTGACGTGAGTTACATTTCATTACACACAAATTACATCTCCCTGTCACTGGGAACAAAAAAGAATGTTACTGTTCACGTGTGTTATACCACGGTATACCACCAGTAGTTATACCGTGGAACCGGTGCATGGTGAGCACCATGCACCCTTGTTATTTTTTATATCTCCTTTTCTTAAAATTGTTAATAATTTTTTTATTTTTGATCCAATTTTTATAAAATTTATATCAATTTTTTTTATTTTTCGTGATCTTTCAAATGAGACCAATATTGCCTATGTAATTTTAACATATTAACATTTGCGTGTAAAAATATGTAATTTAATTTTTGTCTCAATATTTTATGTGATGTAAATCCTATGTATTGAATGTAACTCGTGTTGTTATAAAATGTAATCTCAGTTAACTACAAATGTAACTTGCTGCTTGGAATGTAACTCATATTACACCCTCTAGTGATTCTCTCACCTTTTATACGAAATGTAAACCACGTGTTACAAGATGTAACTTTTATCAAATTGATATGTAACTCGAGTGTATCCAAAATGTAACTTGAGAAATTTCGAAATTGTAAGGTGCGTTAATTAAAAAGTTAATTCAGGGAAATCGAAAATGTAAATCATGTTAATCAAAATGTAACTTGATGTTGATACAAATGTAACTTGCGTGTAGAAATATGTAACTTACGTGTAAAAATATGTAACTTCACATATAAAAATAATTAACTCACATGTAACTCAATGATTTTTTATATACACAATTTTAAAATAAATTGTGATTTACACAATAATTTTGTTGTATTAAATTTAGTTCGGTTTTACTTATAATCCAATATCTTTTATATAATAGTTCCATAATTTGTTAAAATTACATTAGCAATATTGGTCTCATTTGAAAGATCGTGAAAAATAAAAAAATGTTGATATAAATTTTATAAAAATCGGATCAAAAATAAAAAAGTTATTACCATTTTTTAACAACAAAAGCAAAATTTGCCGTATACCACAGTAGGAAACCCCAGCCCTTCCGTCCATCTCGTCGCTTGCCTATAAACCTCCTCCTCTTCCGACGACGAACGGGAAGCCTTCTGCCGCGATCATCTTACCCAGGGCCGGCCCTGGTGGTGTGCAGGGTGTCCAACCGCACATGGCCCAAAAAATTGGAAGGGCCCAATTTTTTTTGTAGTAGTATACTCTACTACCTCCGTCCCACTATGATTGTCCCATTTTACCTTATCGGTTCGTCTCATTAATATTGTCTCATACCAAACTTGGTAAAGTTTGTGTGGCTCTAAATCATTCTTACTTTTTTCTTACTTTACCAATTCAATATCAACCACATAAACAACTTTTTATTAATTTGTGTGTCACTCCCTTTTGTCCCAATGTTAGCGGGACGGAGGGAGTATTATTACTTAGGTGGACTAGGGCAAGGCTTTGAAGCAAGCCTGGTTCATCACTTCGCGTATTCCTCATATGCAAAGGAGGAGCATGTATATAGGAACGAATGAGTGATAAATTCTCCGTTTCCACCGGTGTGAGAATCTTAAGCTTTAGAAACAAAAAAGAAAAGAAGCGAGGCATGCGGGATTTAAACCCAAGTGAAAATAAAAGCATGCACGCTGATTTCTAAACATCAACCGCCGGACCAAATCAACTAATTCTTGAAATACGGACGTACAAGTTCTATATTACCTATTTGTTCTACAAAATAAATAATTAAAATACCTCTTAATAAAAATCGGTTCGGTTCGGTTTGAACCGATTTTATAACTCAAAAAACCTTCATTAAACCGATTTATGTTCGAGTTCCGACTTTCGGGTCCCGTTTGAGTCGGTGCGGTTTCGGTTCGGTTTTTTTAACTTGTGTTGAAACTTTGAAAAGAAGGTCCAATTATTTTTTTTGCACAGGGCCTTCATTTCCTCAGGACCGGCCCTGATCTTACCCATACCGACGGAAAACGCACCAGTTAAGCTTCACCTGGGACATGCTCGGTTTGATCCACCTGAAAAGCTGAAGCCTTCTCCTCCTGAAGTTGACCGGCATCAACCCTAACCTTTTAATCCTTTCATCTCCCTTTAGATTATCATGCGCCCCACACCAACTTAACATGAATTTACATATTTGATGAACCATACCACGCT